GGTGGGGGCACAGGGGAGTATCAGCAGTAACAGCCGCAGTAAAAATAAAACCCTTATAGAAAAGGCACTCAGACTAAAGGAACAGGTGAAAAGTTATATAAGTGTCCCCCATAAGAGAACTGGTAACACCAAGACCAAACATATCGCTGTGACCAAGAAGTTCCTGCAGTGATCAAGAGCCAGGGCTCAGGGGAATGAGCCAGCAGCACACGGGAAGAGAAGCTCCGCATTAGCTTCAGGGAAGCACACACTGGGAGCAGCACAAAGGCCCACCTGTCCTTGAGGAAGACCCAGGAAGGGACAAGGAATCGGGAATGAAAAAGGCAGGAAACAAAGTCGGTTACACAAATGCCATTCTCAGTCAACCTTGACCCATGGTATACCAGCAGTAGAAAAGCTGACAAGCTTACAAAATGGGGATCCCATTCGTGCTTCTAGAAGAAGCCACTGGAGGAACAACTTTGTCCAGACCCAAGCAGGGGTGGTCAACTTGGACCACAGAGCCAGCACTGAGTAGGGCCAAGACGAGGGCTGGCAAGGTGTGCCTTTGCCAGACACGTTTCTTTTCTACTTTGAGAAAGAAGCTTTGGGAGCGCTCCTGTAAACAGCCCACGGTTCGTGAAACAGAATGCTCATTTGAAAACTTGGGACAATATAGAAACGATACAACCAACACAGTAACAAGGAGTTAAGTTGGGAATGGAGAGGAGGAAAGGGTGAGGAGGCATTGAATAAACACTGGGTTCCTTATCTTTTTATAGATGGGGTATAAACATGCCACTTTAATATTTACAGTAGTAGAGTAATACAGTAACATTTAATGATATTTAAATAGAATTTAATATTCAAACCAATACAAAACTAAACGAGTTCATAAAGCCACCTTAAAATCGGGTGTTGGGAAGAATGTTGGGAGAAGCAGAAGTTCACTAATTCTTATGGCAGGAAGTTAATTGATAGTTCTTGCATAAAGAAATCGGAACTGGTGTTTGGAGCAGCAGCTAAGGTGCCACTCAGGAGGCCTGCATCCCACATCCAAGTGCTGGTTTGAGTCTGGGCTCCACTCTGGCTTCAGCTTCCTGCTGACACACATGCTGGGGGAAAGCAGATGAAGGTTCAAGCACCTGGGTCCCTTCTACCTATGTAGGAGACTTGGAGTTCCTGGCTTCAGCAAGTTCCAGCCCCAGCTGCTGCATGCATTTGGGGAGTACCACTGGAGGAGAGATCTATTTATCTGCCTTTGCCTCTCTGCCTCTCAATAAAATTAAGTAGATGAAAACTTTAAATCCTCTATTTAATTCTCAAGTTAACCATTAGAAAAACTAAAAATATAAAATTTCCAGATCATCAGAAGATAGCAAAATAGGAAAGCAGATGACAAAAATGACATAGTGAACTACTCCAAAAGAAATACACAAAAACAAAGCATGGTACAAAATGATTGTACCTAAGGCAAATGTCCTCATTTCACAATGCTAATACTGCCAATTTCAAATAATAAAGAAAAAGAACCTTAGACTAGGTCATTAATAAATCTCAATTTCAGTTGGTTTTCCATATAGCTGGTCTGCATTTATAGATTCAACCAATCATACAACAAAAATACTTTCTTAAAACCTGCATCTATACTGAATATGCACAGACCTTTTCCTTGTCCCTAAACAATGCAGTATAATAACTAAGAGGTTTTAAGAAATCTAGAGATGACTTACAGTACATGGTAAGCTGTACAGTGTATTTGCAAATATACCATTTTATATGAGGGGCTGGAGCATATTCAGATTCTGGTATCTGAAGGGAGTCCTGGAATCAATCTCATAGACATTGAGACAACTCAGCACACAGTATTTAAATTAAATAAACCCAAACCAGTGTCTCTGGAATATTAAAAGGTGATGCAAATACAATGTCAACAGGAGTTAAATCTGAAGTTAGTGAATTAACCATCCAAGTTAGAGTTGAGAAAAGAACAAAATAAACTCCAGCAGAAGAAATAAAAATAAAACTGAAAACCAATTAAGACAGTATAAAACAAAACTAAATACAAGTGCAAAACTTAAAAGGGAGAAAAGAATACAATATGTGAGAGACTCTAGAAAGTTTGTGGAATTAAGACTGTTGTGAAAAACCAGAATTCAGTTTTTTAAAAAAAATATTTACTTGAAAAACAGTTACAGACAAGGAGAGGCAGAGAAAGATCTTCCATGTGCTGGTTCAGTTCTCAAAGGGCCATAATGACCAGAGCTGGGCCAGGCTGAAGCCAGGAGTTTAATCTAGGTCTCCCATGTAGATGCAGGGGCCCAAGGCCTTGGTCCATCTTCTGCTTTCCCAGGCATGTTAGCAGGAAGCTGGCACCCATATGGGATGCCAGCACTGCAAGTGGCGGCTTTTATCTGCTATGCCATAGCACCAGCCTCTGAATTCAGCTTACATGCATTTTCCATGATCTTTTTGTCAATCCATAGTATATAAAGAAATAAAAATGGAGAAATAACCATCGGCAGAGGAATTTAAAAATAATTGGAAAAATGTTTGCAAAATACAAAAATACACAACAATACAAAGGAAATGAACCTCTAGGCTTTTTATAACCAAGGATGGAAATTTATACTTTAATGTCAGTATTTTATTGAGAATTACCCTGGGGTAGTGACTTGAATTTTGTAAAATATGGTCATAAAACTGAGGATATAACTTAGTATTAGGTAGGCATGGAAGGTCTGGTTCATTGGCACTGGGGATGTTATGCCCTTATTTTGAAATATCACCCAACTTTTCAAATGTCACTTCTTAAAAGTCTCTATAGTCTCAACCAGACTTCCCATTTGAACTGTCCAAATTAAAATCTACAATGAATATCCAAGGCAATATTTCTTCTATATGGGTTACTTACTATGGCTTATGGCATCTGGGTTAAAATATTGAGCCAATAAAAATAACTTACGGAATTATAATTACTAAAAAAATAGTTCCAGTCCAGTGAGCTAACATTCTGTTCCCAATAGGCGAAAAATTCAATATGGTTATTTTCACAGTGCCTCTAGCACATTTTCATTCAATTTAAGCATATGTGTATGCAAACAAGGTTTCCTTTATGAGGAAAATTCACATATTTAAGCAATCCATATTCTATCGTAATTAAAAACAAAGGATCATTTCAATACCATAAGCTTACATGAGCTGGCCATGAACTATCCTTTGGCCACAGACTAAACAATCTTAGTACTTTGTAATAACATCCACTCACAGCTATCAAAGGAAACATCTGATGAGGAGAACGGCTATTTGGGTAAAGTCTTCTAACTAGTATTAGGAAAACAGATTTTGGGAAAATGGCCCCAAACAAGCCCTCAGTGAAAGGTGAATTTGCAGTCAGTTTTGTAGATAGAACAGGACCACACCTCTACAGTCATGGGTCCCCCAGCCCCCACCAGAGTGTACTGGGTTCCCTTGGAGAAAGGCAGTCCTCTCTCAGTGTCCACAGGGGACTGGACCCCTTGCTGATAGAACCTGCAGGTGTTCAAGTCTCTCCTATAAAATGGTGTGCTATCTGCATAGAGCCTACGCCCATCCACCCAGATACTTTGTCATTTCTAGATTGCTTAGAATACCTAGTGCTATATAAATACTATCATATGTTTAAGAAATAATGAGCAGGCCAAACGTGTTCAGTACAGGTGCAATTTTCCTGATTCAAGGTTGGATGAATCTGAGGGTGCAGAACCCAGATTTTCAGAGCCAACTGTACTCTGAAAGGCCAATAGATGACTTTCCAACTGGTAGATGACCACGTGCTGAGCAGAGCACTTGATGTTATAGGCATTTAACAGGGGTGCAGGTGTTGATGGGTATCCAGGGACTGGGTGAGACAATCACAGGGCATTTACTGTTGGAATGGTCCAATCTTACCATAAATCACTCTCTCTCCAGGAAACAAATCAGAAACGCCCGTGGGGAATTAGAGTGGTGATCTGATTGGTCCAGGTCACAAACATGGTATAACAGAAACACCTATTAAGGTCTTATGGCCTGTGTTTGATACACTTTTAACTCCAGCCCCACTTCATGGCCAGTATGCACAGCTGCCAAAGAATAAAGCAAACACAGGTGTCTTTGATTCTGCTCACACCAGAGTCCTAGGAGCACAAATCCTCATGAGAGTAGATCTCTTGTAAAAATCTACCTAGCCAATGGAGAAGCCTGTTTGTTGTCAACTTAGGGGGATGAAGTTGAGACTGGAGTTAAGAAGTAGTGTGTTATGGAATGCTGGCAGTCTCTGAATCGATGCTATCAAACCCCCTTCTTTAATGAACAAGGATTAAGGGTATTAACTTGAGTGAACTATAATTTAGATCTCATAGATAACGCCTTCAATCCCAGGCCCTCACGTCTTGAACCTGTCTGAACAGCAGCTCTTCTAGAGGTGATCGTGTGTGCTGAGATTTCAGATTGCCATGCTGTTGCTATGCCCATATGTCCCTTTCTATTGTTCTACTTAATTTTTATTTGTAAAGCAACATATATTTGTTAAAGATCCTGCCTATCCTTGTAGACACCATGATTCTGGATCCTATGATGCACTGAAGTTTAATTTGGATAGTCTAGTGACTTCCTGACACCAAATGCCACATTAGAATTTGATCTCATGGGCTTGCACACTTTAATGAAACACCCCAACCAATTATAACAGACCAGGATTAAAGGCTAACACTCAAATCCCACAGTCTGAAGGTGATGCCAAGGTAACCACCATCTTGTTAACCCATTAGGAAAAAAAAAAAAAGGCTCCTGAAACATTTTACAAGAGACTGCCACGAGGAAACACTTTATTTCCAAACAGAAATGCACAGGATAAAAATACCATAATGGCCTGAGTATCACAATCTAAGATTAAACCTTACATGATCAGGAGGCACAGAAAGCTGTGGCGCCCTCCCTCTCCAGGCAAACTGGAATGCACAACTAAGGCAGCCCGTGAGGACGACACAGCAAGACAGTACCTGTCTGAAGAACTCCTCCAGAAGGGACATTGTCCAGCGATGGTGCAGGTCCCAGGCTTTCGCGGGATGGCTGATATCCGCCGTGTGCAGCATCAGGGATAAGGCCTTTGGTTTTTCAATCCTGTAACCCAAAGCATCCAAACATGAGGAGCACACTCCTCAGAGCCTCGATAAGAGTTTTAAAGTCTTTTTTCTTTTTAATCCCTTCCATTCCAAATCAAACTGCACTTCAGCTAGACAGAAGGAAAAGTACCATTTCATCCTATAACTGGAATTCCATCAGCTTGGTCTCCATGTTGACTGAACTGGATACTTGTGACTCAAACTCCCTTACAGAATGATGATACCGGTCAAAAAAACAAAAGCACAAATCCAAGTGCCACTGACTCTTATCTGCTGCCTTGGCATTCAGTGCATCTTTGAAAACATAGTTTTCCACAAGGAAATATTTCAAATTCTAATTGGGACAAACTAATGAGCACTACTATTTATTTCAGTACCCATGAAAACACATGGAATACTGACAGACAAGTTCCACGCTGTGTTCTGCAAACATCACTATTCTGTGGCGACCACTCAACAAAGTTACACTGAAGGAGACATGCTTTAACAAGGGCAAGAGCATGAACAAGTTCCGGTCCCAACATCTTTGAAAACACATGTCCCAGGCCCACTTACGCTTCTGGCTGCTGCAGGGCAGTCTTCATGGCTTTGATTTGTTGGAAATGACAAGACATATCGGTGGCCATCACCATCTCGATGACCAAGGTCCGAAACTCTCTTTCAGGGACACCCATGAAGAAAAAGGATTGAAGCAAAAAAAAAATGCAAAGTAAAAATGAGTAGAGACTCTTGCAATTTCTGATCAAGCTCAGCTGATTTTTTAATTTTATTTTTGAGATAACATTTTATCTGCATTAAAGTCAATAAAAAGTTCAACAAAATGTAAAAAGATAGTATAGCAGGAAAATAGGCAAGGGCTATTAAAAATGAAAACCAATTTCACTCAGACTAAACTGTAAAACAGTCACAAATCAGTAAAACTACAGTAATATATAACTCCTATGAGTTTGACAAAGATCTAAAACAGTTGAATAAAACACTGTTCTTGGAGCTAAACTGATACAAGGCTATTTCTTTTTCTTTTTTTTTTTTTTTGTTTTTGGACAGGCAGAGTGGACAGTGAGAGAGACAGAGAGAAAGGTCTTCCTTTGCCGTTGGTTCACCCTCCAATGGCCGCTGTGGCCGGCGCGCTGCGGCCGGCGCACCGCGCTGATCCGATGGCAGGAGCCAGGTGCTTTTCCTGGTCTCCCATGGGGTGCAGGGCCCAAGCACTTTGGCCATCCTCCACTGCACTCCCTGGCCACAGCAGAGAGCTGGCCTGGAAGAGGGACAACCGGGACAGAATCCGGCGCCCCTAATGGGACTAGAACCCGGTGTGCCGGCGCCGCAAGGCAGAGGATTAGCCTAGTGAGCAGCGGCGCCAGCCCGCTATTTCTTGAGGTTTTGTTTTTTTTTTTTTTAACAGCTCTCACATATAAAGTAGGACATGTTGTATTTATCTTTCTGTGTCTGACTTATTTCACTCAATTCTAACCATTTTGCTGCAAGTGATACTTTGTTTTTTTTACATCTGAATAATCTGTGTATGTATATACATTTTTAAATTTACTGGATGATGAACATCATGGTTGATTCCATATCTGACTATTGCAAACAATGCTGCTATAAACATAGTGGAGCAGGTATCTCTTTGATACAATGAGTTCATGTCTTTGGGGTATATACCTAGTACTGGAATTGCTGGATCATATGGCAGATATATTTCTTTCTTTCCTTTCTTTCCTTTCTTTCTTTTTTGACAGGCAGAGTGGGCAGTGAGAGAGAGAGAGAGAGACAGAGAGAAAGGTCTTCCTCTGCCGTTGGTTCACCCTCCAATGGCTGCTGTGGCCGGCGCGCTGCGGCCGGCGCACCACACTGATCCGATGCTTCTCCTGGTCTCCCATGGGGTGCAGGGCCCAAGCACTTTGGCCATCCTCCACTGCACTCCCTGGCCACAGCAGAGAGCTGGCCTGGAAGAGGGGCAACCGGGACAGAATCCGGCACCCCGACCGGGACTAGAACCCGGTGTGCTCGCGCCGCAAGGCAGAGGATTAGCCAAGTGAGCCGCGGCGCCAGCCGCAGATAATTTCTAATTTAAAGAAATCTCCAGGGCCAGCGCTGGGCTGTACTAGGTAAAAGCTGCTGCCTGCAGTGCCAGCATCCATATGGGTGCTGGTTCAAGTTCCAGTTATTCCATTTTCCATCCAGCTCTCTGCTATCTAGCTTTTTTTCTACTGGGAAAGCAGTGGATGATAGTCCAAGTCCTTAGGCCCCTGCATCTGCTTGGGAGACCTGGAGGCAGCTCCTCGCTTCAGATCCGGACCCGGCTGTTGGAGCCAATTGGGAAATGAACCAGTAGATGGAAGATCAGTCTCTCTCTGCCTCTGCCTCTCTGTAACTTTTTTTTTTTTTTTAAGAAATGCAAACTGAGGCTGGCACTGTGGCGCAGTGCATTAAAGCCCCAGCCTGCAGTGCCAGAATCCCACATGGGTACTGGTTCAAGCCCCAGCTGCTCCTTTCCTATGGCCTAGGAAAGCAGTAGAAGATGGCCCAAGTGCTTGCACCCACGTGGGAGACCAGGAGGAAGCTCCTGGCTTCAGATCAGCTCAGCTCTGGCTGAGTTGGGGTCATTGGGGAGTGAACCAGCAGAATGGAAGACCTCTCTCCCTTGTTCTACCTCTCTCTGTAACTCTGCCTTTCAAATAAATAATTCTTCTAAAATTATAAAAAAAAGAAATGCAAACTCCCCACACCATTTCCCTCAGTAATTTACATTCCTCCCAACAGTGTATGAGTTTCCCTTTCTCCACATCATCACCAGCAACTGTTGCTCTCTCTTGTGGAAAACAACCTTCCTGTGTGCAGTGAGGTGATAGCTCATTGTGGTTCACATTTGTATTTCCTTAATGGCTAATGATATTGAGCTTTTTTTTTCATATCTAAAATCAGTTAATTATTTCTAACACTTCTAGTCTACCTTGACTGTTTTAAGTGGGCTTGAATAAGAAATACATGAAACTTCAGGAATAAGGAACTTGGTTATTATGTGCCACAGTGGGTTAAGCCTCCGCCTACAACACCAACATCCCAGATGGGCAGTGGTTTGAGTCCTGACTGCTCTGCTCCCAATCCAGCTCCCTGGCTTAGGAAAAGCAGCGATATATGTCCCATGTGTTTGGGCCCTGCCACCCCTGTGGGAGACCTGGAGGAAGCTCCAGGCTTTGGCTGGGCCCAGTCCTGGCTGTTGTGGCCATCTGGGAAGTGAACCAGTGAGTGGAAGACATGTCTGTCTCTATCTTCTCCCTCCCCCCTTAATTCTGACTTACAAATCTTTAAAAAAAAAAAAAATCCATGGGATACACTACACACATCATTTGGGAAATGGATTCATAGGGAAAAACCCCAATGAAACTGAAAAGTGTAAAAGTACACACATCTCAACTGAATTCAAAAGTTTGGAGACATAATCACATGAAAATAATTCTAGTAGGTAGACTGATAATTGACATTACAACTTTTGAGTATAGATATTCCACCTTTTAAAAAGATAAGACTTTAGTTTTAGGGCAGTTTTGGGTTTAGAGAGAAATAAAGCAGAGCACAGAATTCCCATATTCCTTGTCTCCATTGCAATTTTCCTTATTAACAATTTGCATGAGTATAGTGGCTTTGTTACAACCGGTGAGCCAATACTGATACAGTAACTACAGGCCACAGTTTGTATTAGGGTTAACTTGTCATGGGGTGCGGTTCGATGGTTTTTGACAAGCACATGATGTCATTTATCCACTATGCAGTAACATATAAGATAGTTTCTGTACCCTAAAATCCAATGTGCTGTACCATACTTGCCCCACCTTCTTTTCCTCTGAAATCCCATTTTTTTAAATCAAGTTTATTGAGGTCTAGTTTACTTAGAATGTTCTGTTTCCATATAAAATACACAATTCAGTGAACTATTAGTTGAATAAACTTTCGAAATTATCATGCAATCCTAAGACCAAATACTTCCTGTCACCCTCAAGCCAAGCCCCCAGTTTAATTTCTCCCTAAAATAGCTGACATTTTCAAACTTTGTATATTTGAGGATATAGGAATATAACAATATACATATACTCACATACTACATGTAACAGACACCAGATATATACATACACGTTCCCATGTAGGTGTGTGTACAACAAAATACAGCGTGTAACCTTTGTTTGACATCTTTACTTGCCATGATGACTTGCCACTCACCCATGTGGTGGCTTGTCGACAGCACATTTGCTCTATTGCTGAGTGATACCCCAACGTATGGGTAGACCATAACTTGTTAACCACTACCAGCTGATAGACATTTGTGTTCTAAGATTCTAGTGTGGGGCTATCGTACAGAAAGCTGTCCTAAGTCTTTATTCATGTACAAGTCTTTTTGTGAATACATGTATTCATCTCTGGGGCAGATACTTAGAAGTATAATGGCTGACTTATAAGTTACATTTAACTTCAAAAGAGATTGTCAAACATTTTTCAAAGTGATTGTGTCACTTTATATTTTGACCAGCAATGTGTGAAACTTGGCTTTTCTGTACCAACTATTGTAAATCCTCAATTTCAGCCATTCTAATAGGTAGCAGTATCTCATCATTGTTTTAATTTTGCATTTCTTTGATTAATCATGGCATGTATCTTTTCATGCACTTTTATTTGTGCAACATTTTTTAGGGGAAACTATTGTTTCAAATTCCCCCTTTTATAAATTACTTTGTCATTTTATTACTAAGTTGTAAAAATGTATAATGGGTCTTCAAAAGCCCATGGAAAGTGCATATTATGGAAAAAACCATGCATGGATTTGAGAAACTTTTTTGAACCAAAATAATTCTACCTTCTATTTTTAAAGTTTATTATAAAAGGTAGTTACAGACTTTCCATCTGCTGGTTCACTCCAAAAATGGCCGCAATGGCTGAAGGCAAGAGCCAGGAACTTCTTCTGGATCTCGCACATGGGTGGCAGGTATGCAAATACTTGGGGCATCTTTCACTGCTGTCCTGGGTGCATTAGAAGGGCACTGGATCTGAAGTGGAGCAGCCAGGACTCCAACCAGCACCCATATGGGACACTGGCATCACAAGTAGTGGCTTAACCTGTGCCACAAGGCTGATCCCTTAATTCTAATTTCTATGAAGTTTTCGAAAGATTTGTATAAAGAATATATAAAAGTAGATGTAAGATGTGTTGTGAATAATTTCTCCAATATCTTGGCATGCTTTTTTCCAGTGTCTTCCAAAGGGCAAAGGATTCTAAGATTTTAATTCGTAAACTTCTATTTTTAAGATTTTATTTATTTGACAGGTAGAATTACAGACAGTGAGAGAGAGAAAGAGAGAAAGATCTTCCTTCCGTTGGTTCACTCCCCAAATGGCCACTACGGCCAGAGCTATGCCAATCCAAAGTCAGGAGCCAGGTGCTTCCTCTTGGTCTCCCATGCGGGTGCAGGCACCCAAGCACTTGGGCCATCCTCCACTGCCCTCCTGGGCCACAGCAGAGAGCTGGAATGGAAGAGGAGCAACCAGGATTAGAACCTGGCGCGCATATGGGATGCTGGCGCCTCAGGCGGAGGATTAGCCAAGTGAGCCACGGCAGCGGCCCCAGTAAACTTCTATTTGTAACTTTAATATCCCAAGATTTTTGAGTCCCAAGAACCTTCCATCCACTGCCCAGGACTTTAATATACTTTCTTCTGGGAGTCTTGCCATTTACCTTTGACCTTTAGGTCTGTGATCAAGTTTGAGTTCATTTTTAAGTATAGCATAAGGTGAAGGCAAAAAAAAATTTTCCATATGGATACCCAGTTCCAACAACACTTATTGAAGAGATTTTCCTTTCCCCACTGAACTGCCTTGGCAACTCTGTTGTAGCTCAATGGATGAGTCAATTTCCAAACTCTGAATTCTGCTCCTCGGTTATCTGTTCTTTCATCAGTGAAACACTGTCTGGATTACTGTAACTTCATAATATGTTTTGATATTGAGTAGTGTCAGTCCACAAAACCTGGTTCTTATCAAATAATTTGTCTGCCTTTCTGTATACATTGTAGAAAAACCTTGGACTATTAACATTCTGACATTTTTATTGGAATTGTGTTCAATCTATAGATATAGTTTGGAAGATATACTTAAAATAATGTCTACATGACAAGAATACAACTCTAAATTTATTCAGGTCCTCTTTAATAACCAAGGTTAGATAATTTTTAGTGAATAGGAGTTGCATTTAATATTAAATATTTCATTTTTGTGATATTCTAAAATTTTTATTTTATAATAGTTTGCTGTTAGTCTATAATTTCATATTTGAGTTTATCCAGTTTTAGGTTTGCTGAGATTAAATCTATAAACTTACATATGTATGACCATATTTAAGAAATTTCAGTCTTATTTCTTTAAATATTTCCCTCTGTTTCACCATTTTCTCTCTCTCTCTCTCTCTCTCTCTCTCTCCCCTCTTCCCCAAGATTCCAGTTGCCATATGAAATTGTTTCAAAAAAAACTGAAATGTTTTGGGAGCCTATGAAAGATTTATCTTATTTGAAAGAGTTAGAGACAGAGAGAGACATCTTTCATTTGCTAGTTCACCCCCAGGAGTCGGGTGCTTCATCCAGGTCTCCCACGTAGGTCGCAGGGCCACATGGGCCATCTTCCACTGCTTTTCCCAGGCCATGAGCAGGGAGCTGGGTCGGAAGTGGAGCAGCCAGGAAACCACAAACTGGCACCTATACGGGATGCTGGCATTACAGGAGGCAGCTTTACCCACAACACCAGCCCCGAAAGCCCTTGTTATCCCAGGCCTCCACCTAGGGTTCTAGCTGGAGCTCTGGTATTGCCTTCAACCCTCTAACCTACCCTATCCTGTCACTCCACAGACTCTGACATCCCTGCCACATCTACTGATGTTATTCACCCTCAAATCATTTTTTAAAATATTTTGCCTATAATTTATAACTGCCATTTGTAAGGAGACTGGTTTGTTAGCAGCTCTTCTGGTCTGCCAAAGTAGAATTTCATGTTATTTCAAGTTGAATGAAATAAATATCTGGTAATATTTATTTATAAAGTTACTAAAGTCTAATGCACTTAAAAATCCAAATAGGACAGATCACCTATTAAAACCGCCTCCTTGCAGAGACACAGGATACTAACATAACATGGTTTACAGATACTGTTAAATAGTAACTTACTAGTTAACAATATTTATGCCTTAAGGCAGTATATCTAAAAATTAAGGGTATTTAAAAATATTAGGTAAATATAGTACAGCACTAAATTTACATAATTAAAAAGTCATTTCCTATAATTTTTGCTTTAAAGTATAGAATTCCAAAATGTAAGTAGAAACAAAACATGGTGCAATGGGCTATAAAAATTTCCACTGAATCATGACTTTACTGAGATTTATATTTCATTCTTGGAGATAATGAAGATTGTGCTGAATATATAAATGCTAGTGAAGTACTGAAATATATAAGGCCAAAACACAAGCAGATTTCATTAAGCTGAATTTTCAAGTGGTATTTGATAATTTTTTTTCTTTTTACTAAATGCACCTATGTGCTGAACTGTATAATAACTTGCCTTGATCACAGGCAATATTCAAACCACTCAAAACTGGGACTTCATGAATACCCATAATTAGGAACACAGAGTTGGCGATAACAAAACTGGTTGCATTGCTGTGTGCCAGGGTGTTCCAATAGGTTCTGGTTTACACCTGGTGATTGTGGGGTTAGATACTGTCCATGCCAGGCTTGCTATCCCAGTTGTAGACTGAGAGAGTAAGTGAAGCTTAGGAATGTAACAGAATGAAAACACAAATAATAGAGCTAAATTTCTAACAAAACTAGCAGGTAAACTGGGGCAGGTGAATGGCCTAGCAGCTAGAACATCGGGTAAGACACTCACATCCCACAACGGAGTGGCTGGGGTTGATACCTGGCTCCGGCTTCCGACCCCAGCTTTCTGCTGCTGTAAACCTTGGGAGTCAGCAATGCTAGCTGAAGAAACGGAGCTCCTGCCACCCAGCTGGGAGCCCAGGATTGTGTTCCCAGCTCCCAAGTGTGGGCCCTGCTGTGACAGGCATTGGAGGAATGAACAAGCTTACTGCATACGCCCCCAAAATGTGCTAAGTATTTGTAATCAATTACTTATTATCATCTTAACCATACTGCAGAGTAATTGCCATCTATTTTCCAGGGATGGAATCTGAAAAAGTTATAGGAGGCTGAGTGACTCCTCCAGTGTCACACAATCAGTAAATGTATTTCCATTCAAACCCCGGACTGCCTGTAGCTAAAGATACACAGTGGTACTTAGGGAACAGAAGTAAGTACTCAAGATTACTTTTTTTAAGCATCAAAAGAATTTCTTTAGAAGACTTCAAAATATCCTTGAATTCCAAATCAATATTGGAAGAAAATATTAAATGATAAAACTCAGGTTTAGGAAGGTCAGCTAAAAGCACCACAAGTTACTCAAGATAGCAAACACCACGTGTTTCTAACGCCCTCAGAGGGTCACTGCCTCTCTCTCAAACTTCCTTGAGGATTCGTAGCATGATAGTGAATTTCTTGACCTAAACTGGATCCATTACTCAACTCATTACTGGAAATGATCTGTGAAGATGGAAAAGTAAAAATATAGTTGGAACCTAATCTTAATATTTTACAACCCGTATTACAAACATCTGGATATTTATACCAAGAAAAATCGAGAAAAGGTGAGGCACCCACAAAGAGGGCACGGGAGATTGCACACTCAGGGAGGAAGTGTGGAGGGATGGAGGGAGACAGAAACAGAATTCCAAGCAGGATGAAATTTCTCCTGCAGCAGGAAACTTCACCTGTCCTCAGTTCTTCCTAGCCTCCAAACCTCCCCATCTGTACCTCCAGTCGTCTTTGGAGAGGTTGATCAGAATATTCATCTCCTCGTCCTCTTGCAGGAGGCGGTAGGCTGCACTCAAGTGGTGGTTCTCCAGCACCGATCTGTCATTGTAGAGGATGGCGGGGTCAGACCTGAGCACAAAGCCAAGCAAAAGCATGGAAGAAATGAAACAGATGAGATTTCTGGGATCATTCTCACAGGCTGGGAGTCACTTTTCATCATTTTTTCCCATGCTGAGAAATTATCTTCACCTTAGGCCATTCTTATTAACCAAAAGCTTAATGAACACTATAAATTATCAGATGTATGGGGGCCATTGTACTGTTAACATATGGGCATGAAATACGTGACATTGAACCTGAGATCTCTCTGAAAACTGGCTTATATCCAGAACTCGATGACCTATACTAGTGACAAAACAGATTTTTTAAATGTAGATTACATCAAACTTTATGCATTCTGCAATGGCATTAATTTTTCATTTTATTCAGTGAATATATTGTTTTATTCTAGTTGTAATTCTCTGAACATCTCACCTGGTGGGTACTGTCTACAAGCAGCCTCTAGTAATAACTTGATAATAAAACTTTTCAATGTAAAAATACAGACAAAATTGAGAGTAAGTCAGAAAGATCGAACTGAACATTGCGGTACAGTAGGCTAAGACATCTACCGAATCAGAACACCAGTGGGAGTCCCAGCTGCTCTGCTTCTGATCTAGCTTCCTACTAATGCATCCTGGGATGCAGTGGCTGATGGCCCAAATACTTGGGTCCCTGCCACCCACATAGAGTTCTTGGTTCCTGGATTTGGCCTGGCATAGCCCCAGCTTCTGCAGGCATTTGGAGGGCCAGCAGGTAGAAGATCTTTCTCAGTCACTTTGCCTTGCAAATAAATGATTGGATCTCTTAAACAGAATATAAAGACTGTATAAAAATTGTCATTTTCCCAAAGACCATTCTATAATGGAATACAAGTATTTTAATACTTTAATGAGAAACAGATGAGCTTTTGTTAAAGAACTTGAGTACCAGAGATGTAAAGTGACAGCTTACAGCCCACAGTGGCTACATGGGTGGCTGGGAAAGGGAGCGAGGTCCTCTGACAGGTGGTCCAGTACTCCCCAGGATAACTTTCTCTGTCATTGGTCAAACCCTGGGGAACTCCTAGAATACCTTAGAAGTGTTAGGCTCAACCTTTTGTCCATAGGAGGATAAGGAGCTGGGCACAGACAGATTTCTGATCAGGGGTCATGGATCTAAGATGCTCGGATAAAGTTCAGTTGAACAATGTTTAACTTCTAAACCAAGCATAACTGAACTTACTGGAATTTTCCTACTCCTTTGGAAATAATAAAAACATTCACATCTCCAAGTAAGGGATCTGCTCTTAGACCTGTTGAATAAACTAGGTACCCAGTGATGAGCATTTTGTGGCTCTAAGATAACTTTCCACCTCCTACAACTGAGCCGTGCACCTCTGGGCTGTAGCTGGTTTGGGTACTGGTTATCCGCAGCTCTGCTCCCTCTCCTCTTTGGACAGGTGCTATTCAGTGTTTCCAGCCTCAGAGCAGAGGTCCTTTCCACAGACCCACAATAGCAGCTACTCCAGAGTTTCCTGTATTTAAAAACCTTGGAACAAAACCACAAAGGGCTGCTTCCCCGCAGCTGAGAAGACAGGAGGTGGGGACTAAAGCAAGCAGCCTAAGCCCTTTTGTCTGCTTCTATTCCACTGTCATTTCTCTCCTGAACAGATCAGACCACTGTTTTCTTTTGTGTACTCCATAATTAAATGTTGAGTTCATTAAATGCATATAGACTGATTTAAGGAACACAAACCTATCTGGAGGATGCACCTGCTCTTTCAAGTAAGATCTCCAAGTTTTTACTGGGTGTTAAACTCCTCCTCCTCCCGCTATATTCTTTCTCTTGGCCTTACCACCTTTCCTCAGGTCCTGGCTTTTTAGTTTTATATCAAGACCCAATTAACCCTACTGCCAGACATTCACTAGTTCCATGTCTCTTTTAAAAGAGACAAGATAAGGTTTCACCCTAAGCAGAAATGCTAATGCACTGGGTAGGACTGATTTTCTGGAATTCTGTGCTGAGAGGAATACTAAGGACAAATTCATAGCTTGATAAGGAAGAAAATGCTAGATCAATGAGTGATGTCTGACAAATTGGGAGGGTCAGCGTGGGGCCTTGGACCTGTGTTGAACATCCCCTAGAGAGGTCTGTGTCTTCCCCAGCAGTTAACAAAGAAGGTTGTACATGGTGCCCAAGGTGAAGGTGGCCTACAGGAGAAGACATGGCTCTTCCAGTCCCATGCCAGGAAGCGTGCAAGCACTGAACAGATAGCAGAGATGAAATCGGAGAGGATGAGAAGGGTATCTCGCCAGAACCCTAGAGCAAGGAGATTTGGCTACTGTTAACATCAGTCAACACCTACCATCTCTATTGACTAAGTCTGCACAGCACCTGGGCTTTCATGTAAACTGCCTCATTGTCTACGAGAAATTGGTAAAATAGTCATAGGACAGAAATTAGCAGCCAGCATTGCAACAGAGAAGAAACTGACATCAAAATCAGATCCTAATGGAACAGGAGTTTCAGTAGCACACAGCTTCCTAAACTCCGTCTTCACTGAAGCTGGCCAGGCAGATTCCTCATTTACAAGTTCATTCGCAGAAAATCAAAGTAGAGTAACCATGCAAAAGGCAGGTGACTAACACCTTTCTTACTTCTGCACTTCCACCCGTGATCCCTGGTGCTGCCTCCCCCAAAGTGTCACGCCCCTCACCGAGTCTGGATGTGGAAGTTATTCGTGGTTCCAGTATGCTCATAGTCATGGATGGCAGCTGAGAAGATGATAGCGAAGATCTCCAGCTCCGTCAGCCAGTTCTGAAAGGGAGATTACAGAGCAATCAGATGATCTTTCTCAGATGAAGTCCTCCGCTTGCTGACAACACATCACATGTCTGCCTTCCCACCCTGCAGCTGGTTAGCTGTTGCCAAACGTGTTTTGACACGCAGAAAAGTTTTTGTTTTTTTTTTTTTCTGTGAAGAGCTTGGGGTATTTGTGATTTAAAAAATGCATGCCAAGCAAGGTTGAAAAGGCTGGTTTTCTGGAAAAGAAAATAATAACTAAAATAATAAATAAAAATAATAAAGACATTACAAGCCTATAGTATATTTTCAAATAAAGTTCCTAGGTAAACTCACACATATACAATGTAAAATTCCAACACAACATCAAGAACTTATTAGGAACACCAACAAATCTTCAGCATACCCCCCTGTCAAAGTATCAGAACAAGATAGAAGCCCAGCAACCTGTTTCCCAAGCCATACTGCTAGTGATAATGCGCATGAGAGTCTGGGAACCGCTACCATGCTGGGAGCTCCCTCACTTGACCACCATCTAACGGACTCTGCGTTCACTGATGCTTCCTATCCCTCTCAAACCACACTGTCTGATGCCCCCACAAGGGACCATTCATGACTCCTGGGCCACCCTTTGCTTCACTCTGCTCACTTTGCTTAGTACATGACTGATCCTTATAAGATTCAATATGGTTTATTCCAAACCCTGAACTATGAAATACATCAATAAGGTATGAACATAACACTGGGTTTTTCTATAGAACCTAAGCTCCACACTTTAAACACTCATTGTGAAAGAACTGTTGTCAAAATATGTGTGACCACTATGAAATAGTTAAAAATCAGTAAAAACAGATTCTGTAAAAATCAGTAAAACCTAGAGAGATTCTGTACTCCGTTTGCTTCATGAGTTTCAGTTCTCATTTCATACTAAAGCAACAAAACTGGAAAACGTAATGGGTAGGGTTGATGCAAGACAAATACTAGTATCCAAACTGACTGAACTCAGAAAAGAGCCTGGAGTCTGAATTAAAGATTAGTGTATAGAATGTACTTACATTTTAATCATTTTATATTAAATTACGCAAGTTTTACAACTTTATACTTCAATAATTTATTTCAATTAACCAGAAATCTTGGTCCTCATCTAGGAAACTTCGCCAGAATTATTACCTTCCTTGATAAAGGTAAGGGGAAAATGGATAACCTTATAAGAAAGGTATCATAAGCACAAAATGAGCACAAAGATAACCTGAAAACAACTATACTTCTGAAAATGATTTCTAGAAGAATCCACGATGGGATGTTAGAAAATTGTGGACATCCTCAACAAGATAACTCTAATACAAACTAAGAGCAAGAAGCAGAAAGATAGAAAAAGAAAACAGACCAAGATGGAAATCAATAAAATTAGAAGAAAAAAATAAAAGCAGAAGAAGAGGGTGCAAGAAAGCCAAAGCTGCAAAACCTGAGGTGAAAGCAGCGTCCTCAGCCCCCTCACTGTCAGGGGACCACGCTGTGGCAGCCATTGTTACAGGTGCTTTTTACATAACTCTCCCAGACCCCTAAGATGGGAACTTCAGATGGGCACTGGCAATTGCACAGAGCAAGGAATGCAGGTGGGCATTTACGGAAGAATGAACAAAATGAGCAAGTCCCAGTAGCAAAACCTTAGTCATGTGAAGTAAGGAAATGCCTTTGACTGGAGTGAATAGGACCCTATGATGTCAGAGTGACATAAACTCCTTCAATAAGCAGTGGAAATTAGAGAGCTAAACTGACGCATACTGCTTCAGAAAGGATGTTTGGGAGAAGCAGAAAAATGTGAGTTGTATTTTTTTTTTCTTATTGGAAAGTTTCTACAGGATGTATAGACGCTATGGAGATCCAATCCACAGAATTTGGGGTAAGGGGAGACAATGTTTATGGAAAACAATGAGTTAAAAATGATTTAGCGCTTGTGGTTGAGTGGTTAAAGCACTCTCAGTGGCATTCAATGCCATCATTTCATAGAAACAGAAAGTGGGAGTAGTAGAAGGTAGAGGGAAAGTGAGCTTCATATTTTCATGTGGCTCAGATGTCCTAACTTTTCCCAAATTACTGCAAATGCAGAAAGTTTTATTTCAACACACAAGAAGTCAGGAAGTTAAGTCCTGTGGGTATTTTATTTCCAAATTAGCACCTGGGACAAGGTCCAAGTCACAGATTCTACCAGTGTTTGCTTATCTACAAAATGAATGTCATAACTCATTGATTGAAAGGGATGCCTTGACAACTGGTGGTAGTCTGAGTCTTGCTGTGTGTGATGCAGAAGACTCAGCTGTGGGAGGGGATGGGAGGGGAGGGGAGAAAACAGGCCAGAGGAAACCTGAAAACAAGGACATGAACAACGTCCTATGGCTTGAGAAGACTTTATTAAGCTGTGACTTGGATACAGGAATGGTAGCTTCTTTACTATGGATTGGAAGAAGATGACTAATTTTCCACCGCTACATTAACAAATTACCACAAATTTAGAGGCTTAAAGAACACTTCCTATCTCTTGATGCACAGTTCTGTAGGTCAGAGCCCAGCACAGCATGGCTGGATTCTGAAATCATGAAATGGGCAGGGTGGCAATCCTTTCTAGCGACTGGGACAAATCTGCTTCCAGGAGTACTCGGGGAATGGGCATAATTCATTTCCTTTGCTATGTTTTCCACTTGGCTCGCCACCCAACCCCCCATACTACCACCTTGAAGCTGGAAATGGCTGGTTGAGTCCTTTTCACAGGAGAAACCCCTCTGACTACTTCTGCCATACCTCTCTGATTTGGATGGACTTGTGTGTTACCATGGCCCACCTGGAAAATCTAGGATAACTTCTGTTTAGGGTCTGGTCATTAACTTTACTGGTGCTGGCAGAGTCTGCTACACATGCCCTCTAATGCAACATACAGTGGAGGTGACTCATTTCTAATAATGATAGCCCCTAATAAGATTATTTTGCAGTCTTCAAGATGTCATTTGTTGATTGCATTTACAACCAAAGGAACAAGCGCAGCTTCAAGCTTCTGGGAGGAAAAATAAGCAAGGGAAACGTGAATGGCACCCCACCTGACAAAAAGCAAGGGAAATGGCCAACAGGTGGCTCTAGAGTTCGGGATATTTAGACCTAAATTAAAAGCAGATGGAGCTTAGAGTCTAATACCTATCCCATCAATAACAGCTCTTCAGTTTAATTCTATTCAAGGGCTTCCTCTAAGAAATGAGCAAAATAACTCTGAAAGGGTTCAAGCATCTTCCAGGCACTTAAGTTAAACAGTAATGAATAATGCAGATTACAATGAGTAATCCTGTTGATGTTGAAACTCCAACATCACTTTATCAATGGGATGTTTTGATTCCCTATGTGTCTTATGGTTTATAAAACTGAGGTGATTTAAAGTGTTTCTCACCCCTGGTTTGAAATGAAAGGTTAGAGTAACAACATGTTCTCCATTCATCAGATGCTCCCCACTGGTTTTGTGAGCTCATGATGAAAGACATTTGCTGTGAAATGTTTTTCCAAGGGAGAGTGGGTGGGAAATAGCTTCTATATTTAAAAATTATTCTGAATATGGCCTGGATGTACAATGAAAACTCAATAGCAAATGGCAAATGAGATAATTTAAAAACAGTGAGTAGTATGTCACGATCATTGGCTGCTGGGATACAATTTGTTAATGATAATTTGCATCAGCACAAATACGTGGGAATTTATCTTCAGAGCTAAACAAGCTGTGTATGATTCACCTTTATATCCACATAATATACTGTGCACAAGAGGTATTAAAATTAAATATATGGTGAATAGATTAGCTCCAAGTGCATTTTTTTATTCCACTCTGATCCTAACCATAATACCTTGCATAAGGATACTAAGTTATAAGGGATATTTTTTGGCCAAAGGCAGTATAGAATTATGGTTAAAGCAAGAATTTATCTGTATCCTAACTGTTAAGACCTATCCCTATGACTCCATTTTACTTTGGCTACTTCTTTAATATAAATTAATTTTAAAAAATCTGAAAATGCACTCATTCTGAGGTATTGAGTTGGGATTTCAACATATGCATTGCGGGGGTGGGCAACGAAATGTAAGTGAACATTGTGCACTGGATGTCCGGATGACTCTTTAAAAGTGGTCCAGGATGTTTGGTTTGCATCTCTTATGTATTCTCTCTTCCTTTCTATTTCTCCCTGAATTTGCAAAAGTACATTTCAGCTATTTTACAAGCACAAAGACAAAAGCCACAGGGCAAAAAGGGAGATGAGTGGAAAGGAAACCGAGTGGCCTGTTGCTGCTCAGGATCCTTGAACCATCCCTGGAGTGCTCTGTGGACTGTCCACACACATGCAGGGGACACCCAGCGCACCGGCCCTTCTAATCGTCCTGGATGCTCATTTGTACACATTCTCCAACAATCAGAGGTGGCTGGATATTTCAAAGAAAAAAACCAATGATATAACAGAAAGATTCTCAAAAACAAAAACACCTTTTTCATTACCTAATAGAGATTACAACACTAAATTTAAAAAAAAAGCATGTAAATATATTCATAACTATCTAAGGCTGCTAAGAGAATGAAACAAATCAAGAACAGAGCTCCTGATATTAAAAAAAAAAATTGCTAACTAAAAGATAAGTTGAGTAACCAGGAAAATCTGAAGGCCAATTTGGTAACCTATAAAATACAGTTGAGGAAAAATACAGGTGAGGACATCTCTTGGGAGATAACATTAAAAGGCTAAAAGATAGGGAAAAAATGAGAGAGGAGATGTGAATATGAAGTTAGGTGGCATAACACAAGTTCCAAAAACAGGCAAAAAAAGAACAGGAAGAAATATTCAAAGAAACAATAAAATTTTTTCTATATATACCATAGAACTAGACTGGCTAGTTCCTGTGTGGGTTGGGAGGGAGCTTGTGACTCACTTTGGTCAGCAGAAATGATGAGCAGAGTTCTGGAGTCGTAGAATTTAAGTGCAAATACAGAG